TCTATCGGTACATTTTCCAAATGTATGTTTGTTGGTATATTTGTTTTGTTTGTTATTATCATGTAGGTATTTGGTCTTTTTATATTCATTTTTAGTCCATATTTTTCACAGAAACTGTTTGTTTATTTAGTAGTAATTGGAGTTGTTCAGCAGAGCTTGCCATAATCATGGTGTCATCTGCATATCTTATATTGTTAATAGATCTTCCGTTAATTATTATTAGTTCACTTTGAAATAGTAAGGCTTCTTCAAAAATGGCTTCACTATATACATTAAATAGTTATGGAGACAATACATCCCTGCCTAACTCCACCCATGATTTCAATTTTTGGACTGGGTTCGTTATCTATTACGATTTGTGCTCTTTGATTCCAGTAGAGGTTTCGTAAGTCCCTATGGTCTATGTTTTTTGTCTTTAGAATTTTTACTAATTTTTCATATCTTACTTTGTCAAATGCTTTTTTAAAATCAACGTAACAAAAATGCACATCAACATTCATATCTATGCATCTTTGAGCTAACACATTAAAAGCATAAAGCTTCTCTGGTTCCTAGTCCGTTTCTGAACCCAAACTGACTATCATCTATTCCTTCTTCCAGTTTTTTATTTATACGACCATGTATTATTTTCAAGAATAATTTGAGAGTGTGACTTATTGGTGATATTGTCCTGTATTCACTGCAATATTTAGCGTTTGTATTTTTAAGGATAGGACAAAAGGTGGAGAGTAACCATTGTTTCGGTATGTGTCCTGTTTTTTATATTGAGTTAAATAAGTCTACTATAATGTCTAAGGTAATTTATACATTTTAAGATTTCTATATGGATTTGGTCTGGAGCTACTGCTTTACCATTTTTGCTGTTTTTTAATGCCATTTTAATTTCCTCTATTAATATCTTTAAAACCATATCCTCTTCTACTTTTATCTCCATCTGCTCTGTTCTATTGTCTTTGAACAGTTGATTGATGTATTTTGTCCACCTCTTTAATTTGTCGTTAGTATTTAACACAAGTTTCCCATTTGCATCTTTCAGTATTCCCGGTTTTCTTGTTCTATTTTTCTTGTTCTATTGTTGCGAGTTAATTCTTTCATTTTTTATGTGTGTTAAAACTATCATGTCTTTTCTGGCATTCTTCTATTTCTGCGCATTGTTCTTTTAACCATTGTTCTTTCGCTTTTTTAATTCTGTATTTTATTTGTTTATCCACTTTTTTGTACATCTGATTATCTTTGTTTTTATATTGACGTCTTTCTTCCATTAAATCTAAAAGATCTTCCGTCCAATAAACTTCATTTAACAGCGAAGGAATACATATAAAAAACACAGAAGACAAGAATAAGAAATATAAGGAAATATTTAAAATACATAAACTACGGGAAGAATCAACAAAAATCAGATATAAAGAGAAGTTAGAGAAGGAAATGGACAAACAAGGAGAACTGACAGAAATAATAGATGAAAAATAGGGAAAATTTAAAAATGCTGTGATAAATTCAACAAAACTAGTATGTGGGACCATAAGAAATAATAAAAACGAGAAACGGACACCATGGTGGAATAAGGAGGTAAAAATCAAAATTAAATAAAATAAGAAATTATGGAAAGAATACCTACAAGACAAAACGCAACAAAAATATGAAAGATACAGAATACAGAGAATAAAAGCTAAAGAAGTAGTCAAAAATGAGAAAAAGAAAAGCTGAGAGAAGTTTGGAGGAAAAATGGAAGAATAATAAAGGAAATGTAAGATTGTTTCATAGAACACTAAAAAACCTACAAAAGCAACAAAGAAAATAAAATTAAAACAAATAATGACCAAAAACAATAGAGACAAAAGAACGATAGGGCAAAGAAGGTCCAACAGCTCAAAAATCAAGAAATAAACAGACTCAAAATTAAACCATTACTTGACACAATAAAGAAAAAAAAATAGCATGGTTCGGTCATATAACACGAATGGAGAATGGCAGACAAGTGAAAAGAATGTGGAAAGCTACACCAATAGGGAAAATAGAAGAGACAGACCAATAAAAGAGTGGGACAGTGATAAAGCAGATATTAGAAAATAAGGGCAACTCTTGGCAAGAAGCAACACAATTGGCGAAAAACAGAAAAGCATGGGGAAAATTGATTACAAGAATCACCTCCCTCAATGTGGAAAATATAAAGAAGTTGGAATCCTTTGAGATGTGGTGCTATAGAAGGATCTTGAAAATACCATGGACCCAACGAGTTACAAATGCGGAAGTGTTAAGAAGGCTACAAAAGGATTGCGAGGTCATAAAGCACATCAAAACAAGAAAGCTGGAATATTCAGGTAACATTACCAGAGGTGCGAAATATGAGATATTAGGGCTCATAATGCAAGGTAAAATCAAGGGTAAAAGATCCATAGGAAGTCGAAGAATTTCCTGGCTAAGAAACTTAAGAGAGTGGTATAGTTGCAGCTCAGTAGATCTTTTTAGAGCAGCCGCCAATAAGGTACCGATAGCTGTGATGATAGCCAACCGCCGATAGGTGAAGAAACTACAAGAAGAAGAAGACCTCCCTCAACACCTAATGGTAGGAGAAGAAGGATTATGTATGTGTTATTTTGTTACTGACTGCTTCGGTTAACGTTTACTGCTCCATATCACGTAGCAGAGTTACAATACATAACGTTTAAGTACCGGAATTGATTGTTGTCCTGTGCTCTCTATGGTACAGGAAATCATGGCCCCCCAATTTGAGTTCAGATCCTCCTTCTTGGTTCAATTTCCTGACTGGAATGAGTGGATTAAACGAGAGCCTGCACTGATTCGTCGAAGCGGGCTCACCTCGTTCACGAATGGGTCCAGAATAGACAGGCGGGCAGGTGCCAGAGTATATGGGAGCGGAATCGGATTTAAATCTGGACGAGCTCTCGGCTCCCATACATCAGTCTTTCAGAACGAAATCTTTGTAATCCTGGTATGTGCTCAGGAGATAATAGATAGGGCTTGCTTAGGCATATCTATTTGCTCTGACAGTTAAGCAGCGCTAAGGGCTTTGAAAGCGCCCAAAGTCAGCTCTAAGCTGGTTCTTGCATGCATCAGTTGCTGATGTTGCGCGGACTAATAGGGTTAACTTCGTATGGGTACCGGGACCACAGGCGTGGAATGGAACTAACGGGCTGATGCCCTTGCACGACAGGAGCTATTCACTCTGGGACCAGAACTTGTGATTGGGGTACTGGTCGAGGTAGTCTTAGAGAGCTTCTTCTGCGGAGGTTTCAGCATTCCTGGGCCAGTTGTAGAGGTATGAGAAAGGCTAGGCTCCACATAGTGGACCTATCCAGAAGTCTTACAGCTTAACTTCCCTTTCTAGACCGTAGAAAGTGCTCTCTGGTGGTCAGTATGCTTACCGGCCACTCAAGCGGCACCTTCATCTGCTTGGACTGGCGGATAGCCCACGGTGCCGTCTTTGTAATGATTAGGAGGAAATTTCCTCACATGTCCTCTGGAAGTGCCCGGCACTAGCCAACCAGAGGTGGCAGATCCTGTGTTCGATCCTTATTCAACCGAGCCAAATTAGGGAGTTATCCTTAAAGAGACTTGTGGCTTTCTGTGAGACCACAAGCTTACTAAGGATTAGACATTCAGAACGGCAAGAGGGGTTCAGACTTGGAGCACCTGCTGATTACTGCAGATATCCGGCCCCGGAACAGCCTGGAACCCAGAAACGCCAAAGAATAGGTCCTTATGGGCCTATTCCGTATGATAGTTGTGATACAATGGAACTGTCTTAGAAGGTCTAGGTGTCTGAAGGGCTCATACATAGCTCCTGTCCCAATCAACCATAACCATAACCAAGTACTCGAATTCTAACATGATTTAAAGATGTAGATCAAAATCAACATCCTTCTTCATCAAAACCCTTTTAGCTTTCTCAATTTTAATACGCACTTCCCTAAAGTGATCCCAATGCTTAATCAAGTTGGATCACAAATATGTGAAATTCTGAACTCGTTCTAATATATTATCGTTTTTGGAGAAACGTTTTATGACCAATTGCGTAATGTACAGATCTCGCACATTTTGGGTGATGGTACTCGTTTCGGTAATGGTATAAATATAGAGGTAAGATAATGACCTGGAAATTCTTCTGTTCTGTAAATGGTGTTGAACAGATTTTGTACATATTTGACAGCAGGTAGCCAATAATTTTTCACTTTATAACTTCAAATAATGTATACGTGAATGTTAAGACTGGTTAGTGAGATCTTAAGCTAGTAACATACACAAGATGCTCGTGCTTGACATTGAAGTAAAAAAAACAAAACCAAAGTTATTGACAGGACCATAAGAACTTAAATACAGAATGTTACAAATGTTAGAGGTGAGAAATAATGTGCATCCAGGGCAACAATAGAAGAAACAACTAGATGGAATGTAAAGAGGAGCCCCAATACAAATTGATGAAGTATGACTAGAATTATTAAATAAGTAATGTAATTTAAATACATATTTAATCGAAAAGAAATCTGAAAATAGGAGATCTGATTGTCTTTTAGTAAATGGTACATGAAAAGAAGATGGGGCTACTACTTCCAACAACAGTTTTAACAGTTTAAAACTAATTTATCTTAATTGAAAAACACTTTTTTGAATGTTCCCACTTTTATATCATCCGCCAAAAACGAGTACATAGAACAATGTAGCAGTATTTATCATATTTTAAACGATACACTTTGATTACAAACAAAAACGATAAATGCTTCCTGCGATGGTTTCCTGTAGGATTAATTGCGCGGTTTTATATTGCATATCTCACAGTATGTGGTCAAGGTAGATAATATTTTTTGCAGCTCTTCTAGGTCTTGGTTTTAACTATGATACGATTTGGATCATTCGTATATTTAACAGATATTTGACATGGTTTAAATTTACTAGATAAGGTACGAAAAAAGAAGTCACAAAAAGGAGAATGCTATATCCGGATTTTCATATAAACCATACTAAAGTATTTAGTTACTCACCTAATGTATTTATCTTCGACATAAATCTGAAACAAAAATATTATGTTAACAGTCACACCAATGGAAATTCTGTTAAAGTTAATATTATTACAAATTAAAAAGCGTAAGTGAACTAATTATCCCAGTGATTATGACTCAAATATAATGTAACCTTTCAGAGATCAATCCTTCTGTTTTTTGACAGCTATAATAAATAAATAATATTAATAACTTTAGTTTTGTTGCTCAGAAGACATCGTTGCCGAAGGGGACTTCAAACGTCCCAAAAACAAGCAAGAAATGGACAAAAGACCGCGCGTAGGGAAAACGTGGAACCGAGAATAATGGGTCCTCACTACCCCTCTGTCGAGAAGGCAGAGGGGTAGTGAGGACGAAAAGTCCGAACTAGAGGCTCTGAAAATCCTGCTAAAAGAAAAAGACGCCGAAATTACGGCCCTCAGGAAAAAGATTGAAGAACTACAGGACACAATGGTTGCCTCGCAAAAGTCAATCATTGATCATACGGATACGAAATTCAAACAATTGAATGAAGCCAAAATCCACAAAAAATATGATAGCCTGGAAACCCAGGCCAAAAAGAAAAATGAGGACAACCTGGAAAACCAGGCCAAAAGGAAAACGCGAAACCAGAAAAGACAAAATCTACGGGAGCAACCCCTAAAATAAACAAACAGCTGAAAAGCCTAAAGGAAACAAAACAAACAACGAGCCAAAAAGGCAAAAAGAAAGAAGATTTCCCTCCGCTTACTCCCCCAAAGCAACAAGCAGAAGAAATTGCACAGAGAGTGGTGCGCAAACCGCTCAGGTACCTCCGTCTACATGTCATATGGAAACAGATGAATTTATAGAAACGAAACCAACGTGGACACCGAAACCGCCTGTAATAAAATTACAGAGTGTGAATAGAACTGGCGCAATTTTAAACATTGCCCAGAAACCAAATATGGTAACAGCCAATAAGCTGTCAAGAAGTGGTAGAGAAACGTTGATTCAGGCAAAAAACCCTAAGGATCATAGGAACATAACAGAAAGTCAATCCCTCCATTACATGGAGAAAACGGAACACTACACTACAGTGGAAAAAGTAGAGGTAATGAGGAATATTATCAAGAGAGGGTGTACATTAAATTACCACCCAGACGAGGACATAGACTTCATAGAAGAAAAATCTTCAAGAAAAATACAAAGAGAAAGACCCGAAGATCCAAACGAAATCATCTCTCCTATATCACCGGCGGAGCTAAACGAGCTAATTAAAAACAACTCGCCGAAAAAGGCACCTGGTCCTGATTAAATAACGAACAGGGCTCTAAAATACTTACCAGCGTGAGCCATAGTATATTTAACAAATATAATCAATGCGATGCCAAGATTCAAGAAATTCCCAAACAGATGGAAAGAGGCCCATGTCGTAATTTTACCAAAGCCCGGAAAAGACAGCACATTCCCTCAAAACTTCAGGCCAATAAGCTTGCTACCTGCAATCAGCAAGAATGTAGAGAGAGTAATACTCAACAGACTCCAAGCTGAAACAGACAGACCAGACATAATACAGAGACACCCAAACGTAATTCTTAGGGGTGAACATGTCTCACAGGCTGGGATTAATTAAATTGCTTGCTTGTTTTGTTGCTATTTGAAACGAAATTTGTTTATTGTGAATTTTAAAAATGGTACAACCTCGTAATTTACAAGAAAAATGCGAAATGATCACAATTTATGGTGAAGCTCGCCGAAATTAACGTGAGACTGTAAGAATTTTTAGTGAACGCTATCCTGACTGACCAATTTCAAGTCAGTTGTAAGCCAATTTTTTGAGACTGGTAGGGTTCAAAATAAACTGTTTATCCGAAGATAAACATATTTTTGTGTTAAGTGAGTTTGTCGGTAATCCGTCTACTTCTAGTAAAACTGTTGCTCACGTTTGTGAAGTAGATCAGAAAACAATTTTAAAGATTCTGAAGAGACATAAATTTCAGCCTTACAAAATAAAAATGGTTTAAGAATTAACAGAGGATGACCCAGATAGACGGATGGAATATTGACCATGACAAATAATATTGTACATAATTATAATTATCTTCAACATATTTGTTTTAGTGACGAAGCGAAATTGTTTTGAATGGTTAAATTCATCGTCAAAATGTTATACTGGTCTGATGAAAATCCTAGATTATTTCGAGAAGGTCACACGCAATTTGACAAAAACTTACGTTTGGACAGGCATATTAGGTAGCTATAATGTAAGCTCAATATTTATTAACGGTAATTTAAATGGTGAAACTTACAAATCATGTGCAAGACTTCTCTCAAAACGTCATATTGCAGAAAGAATGAGCTACGCCTCACTATGCTGCCAGTGTGCAATATTTTCTAGATAAAGTTTTTCCGACAAGATGGAGTGGCCGACGGGGACATATAGAGTAGCCACCAAGATCTCCTTACTGAACTTCATTAGATTTTTTTATGGTGACTTAAAATCCAAAGTGTATCAGACAAAACCAGATACAATTGACCAACTACGCCAAAGAATTATCTCAGAATGCCGTTAGTGAGAAGCTTATTAAACTGTATAAACGGAATAACATACCTGTCAAAATTGCGGTCAAGAATGCTAAAACTGTTAGAAATTCGTTTTCAAAAACTAAAACACTCTTGTCCACTTTGGAACAAGTTAACACGATTTATCACATTCCTTGTGATGAATGCGATTTATGTTATATTGGTCAGACTGGTAGATCATTAAAAGGTCGTCTCACTAGACATCGTAGTGACATTAATTTATCAAAACACACTTGTGCTCTGGCGCAACACGCGATCAATACCAAACATAAAGTGGATTTCAATGAAGTTAAGATTCTTGGCACTGAACGCAATCTCGTTAAAAGACAGTTTTTGGAAATGTGTTCAATTCTTAAACATTCGAATGCTCTAAATAAGAGAACTGACATAAGTAACTTGAGCCAAATATATCATGCGTTAATTTTGCAGAATTAGGCTTTATGATCTATTCACTATACAAGTGTCATGTAAGGTGTACAATTTAACACATTTGTTTATTAAATAATTAAAATATATAAAATAGAAATAAATCAATAATTAAATAAAATAATTCAATATTTTCGCTTAACTTATTAAAACATATGCAACTTACATTGCATGTACTTACACTAATTCTCATACTTAGATTAGTGTGAACTTTCTTTTGCTTAAATACTATAATGCAAATAATGTAATTGATTCATAGAATCCTTTACAAATTACAGTTCCAAGTGGATGAACCTTAGACTGTGGAAATTATCTTTTCGTTGATCACCTGTGGCGGATTATCCAGATTATGTTTGACGTTTATTAATTATATATGAGGTTGAATGAATTTCGCCTGTTTGTTCGTTCTAGACTGGTTAATGCGAGGAATTGCTGTTATAATACCAATTTCTTTCATTGGTTTGTCTCTTACAAGCGGGTTGTCATCCAAACTCATTTGAACTTTTAAATACACCGCCCAATCATTTGGGGTGGTACTTCTACCTTGCTGTTCTGTCAAATTTTTGACCTCAAGGTTGGCTGTCTTTTCACGGTTTAGTTCGGTCTGTTTCAATTAACGCCATTTTCCCGGCGGCAGCTATGAGGCTTTGATCGGTAACTTCATTTACACTATATTTAAAAAAAAAAAAAAAATTTATTAAAGTCACTTTAATAATGTCTGCTCCCTACTCCCAAATAAGAATGTCTGCTTTAGCATTATTACGCAATATCTGGAGGTCAGACAATTTTCTTTCTGTTTGTACTGATCACCCCAGGAGATCTTCCCTGGAGATAACATAGTAGGGCAGCAAAAAGATCAAGAGACTCTACCTAGCAACCCCAATTAATAGGCAGAATTGATCCAAGAAGTTCTAAGAAAACTGGGTGTCAGAAGATGGAAAACAATAACTGAATGTAGGTCTCCTAGTAGCTAAGAATAACTATGTAAGTTTTAAGTGAATCATAAGTAGTTAAACAGTGTAAAGAGTACACCTATGCTTCTAACTAGAAATAGAAAGTCCTAGATACCTTGTTATCTCCTCTTTTATGGTAATAGGCCTTTTTGTCAGGTCAGAGCCACATCTAGTTTATCTGAAGTACAGATGAGAGTAACACACTAATTTTTCTCGAGGGTGTTGTAGAGTAGAGTGTAGTATGTAGTGAGACATTTTTGTAAAAATTGGACATTCCTATAGAGTAAAATAAAGGACCCACTTGATTTCTAACGACAAACCTGAGATCTGTAGACGATATAATTTTGCTATCAAATAATATGAAAAACTGGAGAAAATAGTTAGTGATTTACAGAACCAACGCAGAAAGGAATCAAAAAAACATAATGGCAAACCGGAAATATTTAAAGAAAACACAAGTTGGGAAAAAATATAGAGATCTCACATACCCACAACACAAAAATCAAGAGTATTCACACAATTAAAAAATTACAAATTTATTACAAAAGTGACCCAAACAAAAAGTGAAGCAAATGCATTATCTGGACACCACAATAGAAACAACGGAAGACTAAGAGGAAAATGATTAGATATTATAACGAAAGCTGACGAAATACAGTAAATGAGATTGGAAAGGCCTTGGAGAGGCATGAATTAAAAAATTGTTTCTGAGACGAGGGGTAATTATGATTTTGAAGCCCAGTGTAAGTTGACATGAATACACAAAGTCCTGTATTGAGTTCATAAGGACCTGGAGGCCATTTTAGTAAGTAATAGAAGATCCTGATACAGCCTCGAATGCGCGGAAAATATTTTTTAATGAAAGCCAAGAAAACGTCGATTATATATAGAAGTATATATAGCCACCATCTTCTAGATTCTAGGTGGTGGCTGTATATACTTAAAAGAATTGATAAGTATATATATATGTTGGTTGTCTTTTTACCGTTTGTTCCATAAATCCATAAACTATAGCTCTATAATATATTTTTATTTACTGTTTCTAAACACAATTTCTAATCTGAATGTCGTTAAGTAAAAATAAT